GCCCCCCCCCCCCCCCCCCCCAAAAAAAAAAAAATACCACGTCATGAAGATCATTGAACATTGGAGAATGGGATGATCCATACTTTCACACATCTTTTTTAGATCACACGCCATTGGGGAGAAAGACAAAAGTTTGGTCTTCACCTTTGCAAAAAATCTCAAGTGTTGAGCTTTCCAAGAGATATGGTCCTGGCAAAAATCTACACCTTGATAGGCACTTTGGCCTTCCAAATCATCTTATGAGATTCAAAAACTAGAGAAGATGAATCATCAATCAATGCATGGAAGTAAAATTTGCAAGAATAGACACTAGATGAATCAAAGACCAACACCCTTTTATCCCCTTCTCTTAGGAACAAGTACAACTGAATTGAGCATAGTCAATGAAGAAGAAAATTCAAAAATTTGCCTTTCATTAAAGGCCCTAAGAATTTAAAATTTCATTCCCCTTGGAAATCATGAGCACAATACAAACTCGCAATTAAAAAAAACCCAACCAATTGACTTGATGAACAAAAGAAGTAATGCCACAAGTATCCAAAACTTATTTGCAGAATCAGACCTTAGCTAAGTTCATTTGCATTGCCCAGATTTGAGCAGGACTAACACTTCTGAGGAACTTTAAAAGTGATCCTGGCTGGACAGCATTGCTCGAAAAAACAAACAAAGTTATATGCAATAAATTAACAAATGTGAAAGCCTCAGCAACCCAATACCAACTGTTTCTTATCGGCTAAGTAGAAGTTCTAGAAGAATAAAAGCTCCAGGAGACCACACGGTAAGGGAAATTCCAAGTACACACGCATACAAAAGAAGTGCCAATGGCTCAACAGAATCGAAGAAATCTCCCAACAACTTTTCAAAGGTTGATTGTACTTGGATATCACACCGTATTGCAAATAGAAGTTAAAAATTATACTCAATCACATGTACTTTAGCTTATCACCCAATAGCAACGGTTCAAGGAAAGGAAACCAACATAAAGACACAAAGACAAAGATGAGATAGTTTGCAATTCAAATGATGCAATCACATTGTTTTACAAGCGAGGCCTGTTATGGCCAAACTGTTAACATAATTGATTGACAAACATATAGAGAAGGAATCAACTCACGAGTTTTCAAATTCTTGATGTGAACTAGCTGATTCGTCAAAATTGCCAAAGAGGGTAGACAATAATATATAATTCATTCCATATAACTGAAAGGATTGACAGCTGATAACGCAATTTAAACAGTGAATCTTAAACAATAAAACAAGACATTATATCCTCCTCCTTTCGGAAGGAGCTAATCAGTTTAGCTTAATACACGGTTTGCCACACACGCAACTAACTTCCTTTTTCCACAGTTCTGCTTCTGTATGTCACATGAATTATGAATGTGTGTGCAAGTACATTTGTAAGATCCTGAAACAAGATTTAAATTTAATTTATGCTCAGAATATCAATGCAACTCCTCTTATCTAAAACTGTGTACAACTTAAAAATACAAGTTACAAAACTTGACTTATTGCCCCTTGACAATCATCATTCACTTCTACTCCACTTTTCACCCCATCATCTTATGTTAGTGCTTTTACGAGATACATCATAAGAAGAAACTAGCACCAAAAACTTAAAAGGGCATACCTTCCGATAATCAAGTATTCCTTCAAAGGGAAGCTCTAGCTCATCACTAATAATAAGAGGAATACACCCACCGACAATAGCATCAAACAATCTAGCAGATGATGGAGTGTCACCAGCTGGACATAGGCAATAAATAGACCTGATAACCAAAGAAGCAACTCACTCTATTAAAAAAGTACAAGAAGAAAGGTACACAGTGAACATTGTAAATTATGCAACTTGAAATTTACTTGTGCTGCCACTCTGAACTGCTACTTTTCCTACCTCTCCCGCACTCCCCTCCTCTATAACTACACCATCAGCACCATTAAGTTCTGACTCAAGTTTAGCACGTATCTTTCCTCCTTGAAAGTAAAACACATTAAATTATTTTGCACCTAATGATGCACACAATAGCCACAAGCCAATCCAAATGTCAGCCAAAGAAGGACTATTGCGAGTTAGGAAAGATGATGGAAGAAATCAAATCATGATGGCCTACCAAGGAGTAATGCCATAGACCCGAAGGATATGATGATCAGAAACACTAAATAAAAATCAACACAACAACTTAAACCGAACTACCATGGGTCAGAGATGCGGGTTTGTCCAGTCTGCTGATTGTAAACATAGATCTAAGTATATGTCCTAATAACACGGTTTTTTATCAAAATATACTCACATTAGCTCTTCACATCACAATTATTTTCTTTCACATTCTTCTAATTTTTACTATCTCATCCAAGGATTGTCCAAAAGACTTTTTAAGGTCAGCTATCCTCTGATTTTGTAACCAAACTACGTTTTAATGTACAGACATTGTGACCACTACCATAATTTGACACCACAAGTGAGAATCACTTTGTTCTTAAAGAAACAATTGGTTGACACTCTACAGCATCATTTACTTTCTGTAAATTACGACAATTGTCATCAGATCCCATCTGGATATGTGTTGAAAGGTAACATATGGGTGTTCCCACCTATTAAATATCACAAAATGTGACAATCTGCCTGTCATCGATTATTTTTCAACCAACTCTCTAAAGTACTCATGAATCTAGCTTACTATCACAATCATCTTTAAACAATTTCACACTACCACATCATGATATCATTTGCATCAGGACATTTTATTCTCTTTTGAGATATTTGTTTTTGTAAGGATGTAATTTTAAGTGAATATACGTTTAGTTGCAGTCATGATCAAATCTCTCGAGGCTACAGTAGCTATATTGCAAAGAAGTATTTGGGGAAAAAATTACTAGCTATATTGCAAGTCCATAAGACAAGCATAATGTCAAGTATACTTTCAACCGGGAAAAATAGTTCTTAAGCTTATATACTACCAGCAATACCACCATATCAAATATAAAAACTCAATATAATTCAGTTGTTTGTCTTAGCCAACAGTTTTACCGCATTTCTCTTCAGTCTTCCACGGAAAAATAGCAATGTGGTTCTATTAGATTCAATTTCTGATAAGCAATTTGCATCACACAGGTCGACATTGGGGACATAGGGAAGTATCAGGTCTTTCTCAAGCCAAACTTGTCCAGGTTTGTACCTATTGGTTTAAGCATAATCACACACATCAGAAGCTACAATAAATTATATATTTTGGATGCATTTGCAACTTGAGTCAGATATTGACCAGTTTCCTGTCGAGTCCATATCTGGTAGCAACCAAATTGCATTCTTCATAAATCTACTGACAGACTTGAAAGACTAGGGATGATGAACCGGAAGTATGTAGTCTCTTCCTTCAAATCGTTTCCATGCAGGCTGCTCTGTGACCCACTTCAGAGCTTCCTACAATCCCTTTTGTGTTAAAAATTCAGAGCACATAGGCAAATGTTATATTATGTTAAAGATTAAAGCTTTACCACATGAATAATATAAGTTCATGTGAAATCTACAGGTGATCTCTGCCAAGCAAGTTATATCACTGCAGCTATAATTAACAAAAATCTCCATATAAAAAAGACAACTAGAGGACCACAAATTTCCTCGTGGTTGTTAACTGCAACGATGCAGAAACTGACTAAAAGAATAAAAGCCCATGCAAAGAGGCAGATGCACATGTGGTCGACTTCCAAATATTTGGGTTGTGCACATGGTTAAACACATGTCACAATAGATCATTCGTTTGAGTCTCTGTGTAAGTCAATTTTTGCTCCATAAATCAAGTGATCAAACCAAGTTGAAGTAGCTTTCTGACAGCTGTGAGGTGCTTGAGGTAACCACCTTGACGCTATACAACAATGGAATCCAGTCGGGGAAAGTGAAGATGAAAAATAGTTTTTAGTAAGAAGCACTCCTCATGACCCTAGTATTATACACATTGAATGATACCAGACACATCCAAACACCCAAACACCATGTGGAGTCAGTCCTTCACTACTTTCAGCTCAAGTTTTTCAAAAGAGCAATAATAGTTACCATTGCCCAGTGGGGATGAGATCCCTAATCCTCCATAAATAAACTGCATCATCACAACATAAAGACAATGGAATGCTAAAAGAATGTACTTGCTGGAGCCAACTTTAGGGTAATAACTTTTTTAGGTAAAGATTACACTGTTGCCAGCCTATTTAAATCCAATCTGTTTTATAAAGGTATTTGTCCATCTGATCCAACCATCTTATTCAAGGCAATCAAATCTAACTAATTGTATCAAATATCAATTAGAACAGCGATGTCAAATGACATACCAAATTTGTCGAAAAGCTGGAAGTATCAAATAAACAACAGAAATCATAAATAGGATATCATAACATGATAGGCACAATGCTTCATAACCCACCCCTACGTCATAATTATAACCATGTTTGAAATTACCCATCAGGGTTGTCACAAATTCTGTTGGAAAAAAATCAAAAGCAAGACTTTTTACCCAGCTTTGTACTTTTATCATAATCTCTCTTTAAAATTCAAAATATGCAATTACCTAATCATTCTATTAAGTGCGACAAAAGAAAGACAAAGAAGAAAGAAATAAATAAGACAAGGGAAAAAAAAGTATCAAGGTCCTTAGGCACAGTCAAGAGTCTAAGACCAACAACAAACCAATGCACCATCTGATTGATGTTTGCCTAGAAACAAATGTTTAAAACATACTTATAAAGGAAGAAAAAAATGTCAGCCAATGAGGAAGCTACACCCCACAAAGCATGTGATAGAGTTTGCCTAGGATTTGGGGAATGCCGGTCGCCAATGTCAAAACGTTAGCCACAATAAGCCTAAGACTTGTGACTAAACACAAGAAACAGACCCAAAAGCTCAACAGAAGGCTTGCGATAAGGTCCAACCAACCAGCCCATCATTCGTCGTTGTGAATGCATAAGGTTGGACACACCTCAGTGCTTGGTTGTGTCGTTAGTGGCCCATCATTCAATGTTAATGTTTTATTGTATCATTTATTAAAATAAAATCAAAAATAAAGATCTAATTTTTTTAAAAAAAATCAGAATTAGTATACAATTATATTATATATTAAAATAAAACTAAAAAATTAAATAAGTGATCAAACTATAATGGATACAATATCTTCTATCTTTAATTAGGGTAATTTGGTAGTTTAATTTGATCATTTAAACGACCAAATTAAATTCTAATAGATAGTAAAATTGTATACTAATTATAATTTTTTTTAAAAAATTAAAATTTTATTTTTAATTTTATTTCAATAAATATCATAAAAGAACATGAATTTTGTTTGTAAAATTTAAAATATTTGATATTCTTTTTTTGATTGGAATATTTTTAGTTTAAGTATAACATTTTAACTTGAGTGATCTAAATATTACACACTTGCAAATTTCAGGGGGTCTAGATGCAATTTACTAATGGATATTGACAGTAGTGGTTTAACTATTATGAGCATACAAATCTTAGGAAGTCTGTGTGTAATATTTTAAATGTCAGATAGTCTGAGTGATTAAATTACAAACATTAGAAGGTCTAATTGTAATTCTGCCAAATAACAAAGTCGAAAATTGTGCAATAAAATTTTGTATACATTTTACGTTAAATTTGGAGAAAAGTAAAGTTATAGTACATTAAAAAATGTTGTTGATCCCACGATTGACGTTGTCCCCTGTGTCTCTTTCCCTGGTCTTGCTGTTCCTGTAAGTAAAAGAAGAAATCTAACACCTGCGCCTACTAAAAGAGATTGAATAAAAGAGATTGACGTTGTCCCCTGTGTCTCTTTCCCTGGTATGACACTTCATTACCATTTAGGTATCGTGCTAAAATTCAATCTCAATTATTAATTTTGGTTTAAATAATTTATAATTATTAATTGAAATAATAAAATAAATTTTGTTTACATATGTTAATAAACAATAAAACAGTGAATGACACTTTGAAAGATTATCAAATTTTTAATTTGTACCCTGAAAGTTTAAAACTCTCACATTACACCATTAATAAAATAAAAAAGTAACAATGTAGTGCAAAATAAAATGTATGTTGTCTTTTTGGGACAAATATATTTTTTATATTATTCTATTTTTATAGATAATTGTTTGCATTATACTCAAATTTAATTATTTTTAAAGAAAATCTTATGATCAAATTCTTAAAAATGAGTGCATTGGTACATTTTTATTTAATTGAGGGTGTAATATGAGAATTTCAATATATAATTTGAGAATATAAAGATATTTCAAGATATAAAACATTATTTGACCAAAAAAAATGAAATATCGAAACAATATATTTCGATAGAATAACCCAATCCAATTAAATGAGAAAAATATTGAATCTAATGGTTATACCATATAAATATTGTCGGGGAGTTTAATCATCCATTGATAAGTGAATATATAGACTTTTATGTCAAAAAAAAGTGAAGTCTACTTTATTTATTTTTTAGTTTTTTCATTGAATGATTGTACGGTATAGTATTGCTAACATAGTATAACAGTTATATTGAATACTAGTCGTGTTTCGTGCAAAGTTAGTTATTTTTTTTAAATGTATAGGTTGAATTATTGTGGTTAAAAAATTAAAATTTAAGTGAGTTATCATAATTAAAAAATTAAATCGTAATACGAACCGTCAGATTTAAATGAAATGAGCCGTTGTTTTTGCACCTTTTTTTTAATATATGGATTAAGTTACTGTAGTTAAAAAAATAAAATTTAAGTGAGTTATTATGGTTAAACAATTAAAAATTTAAATTTAAATGAGTTATTATGGTGAAAAAGTTAAAAATCAAATTTAAATAATTTATCATGGTTAAAAAATTAAATTATAATATAAATTGTTGGATTTAAGTGATCTCAATTGTTGTTATATTTTTTTAATTGAGGAGCTTAAATAGCACTTTATTTTATTATTATAGATTTATTCTAATGAAACAACGCAACAGCACAACAAAAGTGACAGCGCAGCAGCATTGTATACTCGGTATAAAGGGTTTTGTTGTCCTTGTGGTGCTACTTGAATCCGAATTAACCGGAGCCCGCTGTGACTATCCAATACCGGACAATTTAGACCAAAAAAACAATAA